AATTCAGAGAGGAAAGGTGTGGTCAGCACAGTGACACTGCTAGATGTGTTGGGGACAGCCGTTGGCCGGCCGCGCCTTCGGTCTCCTAGGTGTCTGTGACACCAGATCCTGATAATAAATGAGTTCACCACACTCCCTAGCTAAGGGGTTAGTAAATACAATTTCAACATCTCAGATAATTCTAAGGCTTTTTTTTTTTTTGCCACTTGGAAGGAAATGAACATAGTGCCAAATTACAACTTTTGGTTTGAGAATTCAGTATGAGAAAACACATCCATTTGGTTTATCTTTTTAGCATTTGTTCTGCTTCCTACAACTCAGGATTTATGTATTTCCTCAGTTCTGGAAAATTCTCTGCCAGTATCTCAGAATATCCGCTCCTCCTCCCCGTTCTCTATGAATCCAGCAATAGACATTATTTTTCTTGTTGCCTAGCTTTTTAAAATTTCTGTTGTCTATTTCATTATTTCGAAGTGATTTTTTTTTTCTGATCTTTCTGGTCAAATATCCTCTCTCCAACTGTGTGTCGAAGTTCTCTAACCTCTCCATGTATTCAAGGATATATAGTCATTTTCGTGATTATATATTTCTTTTCTGAGATTTATCTATTAGAAAGGCAAAGTGACAAAGATAGAGACACAGAAAGAGATCATCCATCCGCTGGTTTGCTTCCCAAATGCCCAAATACACATTGTATTTTTAGACTTTCTATCTCATTCTCCTTTTCACAATGCTTGTCCTGTTCTCATAGAGTCTTGTCTTTCTGTTTGCTCTTTTGCTATCCGAATCATTTTAAAATCACTTCCCCTGACCGACTGTTGGATCATTTCCAGTTCTTGCGGGCTGAAGGCCACTGTTGGCTGTGTATGTGCTGACTCCTGAGCAGGATGAGACTTGATTCATATCTGTGAGGTAGGGACCTACCTGCGGGAATTCTAGAACTTACTAACAGTAGGTCCCCTCAGACTCAGGTGCTTCTGGGTTACCCAGTCATCTTTTTAGTCAGCAACACTTATTTTTTTAAATAATTCTCATCTTTGGGTCTTTTGGATATATTCAAGATGAGACTAATTTAAATGTTAGAATGCAGCTGGGGTCAGGGCCCAGCGTGGTAGCCTAGTGGCTAAAGTCCTCGCCTTGAATGCACTGGGATCCCAAATGGGTGTCAGCTCTAATCCCAATGGCCCCACTTCCCATGCAGCTCCCTGCTTGTGCAGGAAAGCAGTCAAGGACAGCTCAAAGCCTTCAGACCCTGCACCCGCGTAGGAGACCCGGAAGAAGCTCCTGGCTCCTGGCTTTGGATCAGCTTAGCTACAGCCATTGTGGTCACTTGGGGAGTGAATCATTGGATGGAAGATCTTCCTCACTGTTTCTCCTCCTCTCTGTATATATGCCTTTCCAATAAAAATAAATAAATCATAAAAAATGCAGCTGGGGTCAAGGGTTAGGCTTAGCGATTCTCACTGGAGTCTCTCTGCCTCATGCTGAGCTTAGGCTGGGATTACAAACATCTGCGTCAGCTTTTTGTCCTACAGGTGGCTCAGATCCACCTGCATGAGCCTGATGTGTGTGATCAGACGGTCCTGGCTAGGGCTTGCTATGCAGCTCAGAACTGCACAGCCCTGCCTCACATGGCTCTCCTTGTGGGGGAACACCCAGGCCTGCAATACCGAACTCAAAGACCTCTTCTGGGGCAGCTGACGCATCAGCTTCCCTGCCTTCTCTGGTCTTCAGGCTCCTCTGCTGCTGTGGATGTCCCTTCTAGCCAGCTCTGCCCTGCCTTTAAAAGGATGTCAGGAGCTATCATTGTGGCACAGTGCGTTAATCTTCCTGTGATGCCTGCATCCCACATCAGGACACTACTTTGAGTCCTGGCTGCTCCACTTCCAATCCAGCAACCTGTTAATGTGCCTTGGAAAACAGTGAAGGATAGCTCAAGTACCTGAGCCCCTGCCAGCTGCATGGAGAATCTGCATGGAGTTCTTGGCTCTGGAGTTTTATCCTGGCACAGAGCCAGGCCCTTGAGATCATTTAGGAAGGGAACCAGTGAATGGAAGATCTCTCCCTTTCAAATAAGTAAGTGCATCTTAAAAATAATAATTAAAAAAATCTGGTTATCTTTGACCTGCTGTGTTTACAAGGCAGTAGCAGAGGGGTTGCAGATTAAAGAATTTTCCTAAGTCTCCTTTCCTATGTTTATGTCACAAGATGTTAGGTTTTGTACCATGGGTAGTATTTTCCATTTTAGGTGAACTCAGATATCTCCAATGGATTTAAAATAACTAGAGGGATTTCTAATCGCTTCACAGGTACACAAACATAAGGCTTTCTGAAAATAATATTTTTCTTCATGGTCTTTTGTTCTATTCTCTCCAGAACCCATATCTTTTAGCAGATCTCTTTTTCTCACTCTACTCCTATGGAGCAGAAAGAGCTAAGCTCCAGAATACTGTCAGTGAGGAACTGATCAGGCCTTGGACACCCTTGCTCTGTAATTAATAACAGAGATACATGTTCTCCTGAGAGTCCATTCTCAATATCAAGTATTACATAGAGGCATCCAATGAATAGTCAGCAGGCAGAACAGGAGCCTATAAAGAAAGCCAACACAATCAGATGCTCTTGGGACAACAAGCAAGGCTGGGCACAGAGCAGGTGTTCAAGAAATGTCTGAGCGACTGCCATGATCCATGCCACTCTATGGACACACCGTCCTGGAAGCCCAGAGTCAGCAGGTAAACACAAAGGCTTTCGGTTGCCCCTCTTCTGTGTCTTCCCCATGAACCAATTTCTTACTTGGCTCTACTTTCAGATACTGCAAATGCGCTTGCAAAGGAGCAGTGTTGGAATGCTGGGAAACCTAAAACTTGGAAAACTTCATGTCCAGGAGAAAAGTTGCAGGCTTCTGAGAGAGGCTGGGAGGGGCAGCAGGCTCTGGAGGGAGAACTTGCACTCCAGGTGTCTCTGGTCACTCCGGGCCCTCTGAACTTGCACTTGGCTTGTTCCACAGGCCTGCTGCCTGGCATGCATAGGCATGGCGTTGGGAGCCTGCTGCTCCCAGATTAGTTCAGCCTGGCTCCTGCTCAGTTCATCACCTTTCATTAGCTTCCTGCGCAGTGACACACTCTGGACACTGAGGTTATACCGGGGTATTTCCCAGTCTGCCAACCACAAACATGAGGAGCATCTCTTAAGGCAAGGCAGCAGATATTCTTAATCGAGTCTTATTAATTTCAGTTTCAAAAGGAGCCTGGTTTCTAAATCGAAGCCACTTTATGTTCTGACAACTCCCCAAGTTGTCTAAGAGACTGAATCGTTCTGGGCTCACGAAGAATCTTACAGCAATTTTATTTTTATAGGAGACATGGTCCTGAGTAATACCCCTACAGGCAGCCTTTAGTGAGCACTTACGTGTGCCAAATACTCGTAGAAGCAATTCTGTTCAGTTCTCCAGCAGCCTTATATGAGTTAGCATTTCTGTTGCTCTTGCTTTGCACAGGCCCAGAAGGGCCATGGGCACTGAACACAAACCTAGTATGCTGGCTCCCAGGTGCCATTTAACACAACAACCGCTCCCAAAGCTCAGCACTTTCCCAGTCATCGCCCGAGTCTCCCAGCTGCTCGGTAGACCTCACCAGTTAGAATCACCTGAGGAACTTTCCAGTCTCCCCAGCATGAAACAAACACCTTGGAGGGTTAACCTGGGGAAAATCTTCACGCCATTCTTATAATGTTTCAGTAAGTCTGAAATTAAACTCAAATACAACTATTCAAAGACTTACTTAGAATACTATGGGTTGACCTGGAGGGTTAGCAGCAAAGATCCAGAAAACATGGTTCCATTTTTATGTATTAAAGAATCACAAAATACCCATACACACACAATTGCCCAAGTCTGTATGTCCTTATTGAACATGTACGTTAAAACAAAACCAAACCAAAACCTTTGGAGCACAATTTCTAGAGGTTCTATGTGGATGATACTGGGTGGTTCACCAAGTCAGGATTTTTTCCTCAAGCATAGTTATATGCTAGAACCACCGGGGGAGATTTTCAAAGGCCAGATACCTAAGGCCACAGCCCAGACCAATTAAATCAGACTAGCTGGGAGTGGTGCCCAGCTTTGGGTAGTTCAAGATTCCCTCAGGGGATTTCAATATGCAGCCACGTGTGAAGGCTGGGCAGGGTCCCCCAGGACTAGCCAGGGTTGAGAACCACTCCTGAGATGGAAGGAAACACTCCTGTGCCCACAGCAGTTCCAAGTGACAGGCACAGGGCATCCATTTCAATCGTGGGGGCAACCAGCTAGCCAGGGCCCCCGGGGAGTAGAAACTGGCTCCAGAGATCAAATAACTCAGCAGAAGTCACCGGAGCTGGGAGACATGGTGTACACTCTGACTCCACCCAAGAACTGGGGTTGAAATTCCTTTAATAGATTCATTCTTCTGGGTTCCTCCTCCTAGGAGCTATTAACAACAGCAAGCAACTGCTCCTGTGGGGAGTTACTTGGAAACAGGCTCTTAATGTCCGCCCTGGGAGGACTGGATGTTTTTTCGTAGGGAGGGAAAAGTTAGACAGATGTTCAGGAGCTGGGAAAGAATGTAAAAGCAAAGGGCGTCATTCCGAGCTTGTCATTAGACTCACAATCCCTGCGTCCATCAGCCTCATCCCAGGCCTTGGTAGAAATGCTAAGTGTGGGGCAGGCATCGGGTAGTGTGGTTAAGGCACTGTATCCCATCCTGCACTACCAGGGCTCCCGTTCTGACTCCCCTCCTCATTCTAGCTCCCTGCTAAGGCAGACCCTGGTTTGCAGGTGATGGATCAACTGATCGGGTCTCCATCACCTGCTGGACTGAGTTCCTGGCTCCTAGCTTCAGCCTGGTCCTCTTGTTGCAGGCACACGGCGGGGGGGTGGGGGGGGGTGGGGATGAACCAGCAGATGGGAGATCTTTCATTCATTCAAACAAAAACAAATAAAAAACACCAAGTGTCAGTCTCACCTCTGAGAACAGCGATTTTAAATGCTTCCCTTGGGAACAAGAGGTGTGCTTTGGCCAACACTGCTTGAAGTTCAGGGGCACTTAAAGTCTAAGGCAAGCAAGCTGATCTTAGAGCTCTGAATGCTGGGTGCCACTTGAAGTCTTTCAAAGCCACTGGCTCAAGTAATGTTCGCGACAGCTCGATCAAGGTGACACCATCATGATACCCACTTAGGACTGAGAAAACGGGGGCCCAGAGAGGCTAGGCAGCTCTCCAAGGCCTTGCAGTAGGTTGCTAACCGGAGTTTGAAGGCAGGCAATCAGGCTCCACAAGCAGCCATCTTGATCCCTAACTGGGACCGCATCCAAGCCCCAGTACGGACAAGGACAGACAAGGACCAAGTCACCGCCTCGGGAGAGCGGAAGGGGGTCCTTGGCATGCCAAGCTCTTTGCGGATCGCCTCCAGCAGCACCGTCCTTCCTTCCTTGGGATTTCCAGGTTCAGTTCAAGGGTGAAAACAGTCCAGTTAGGGACTTCAAGGGTTTTGAAATCCTTTAAAAGCTGCCTGAGGAACGCCCCTCTGAATAACCCTGGCCTCCCTTCAGGGCAGGTGAGGGATCTGCGAAAAGGAGCCAGGAGGCGCCAAAACAGCCAGGACACGCCAAAGCAGCCAGGACACCTGCTGTTCTTTCCAGCTGAAACCAGTGGCCTGGCCAACAGGAGACCTCCAAGTCACCACAGCCCCCAGACACTGGCGCTCCAACGCTATCTCCTTTTTTTTTTTACAACAGCCAAGCAATCCGCTTCCCCCGCATCCTGCAACTTTATCGAACTCCACATCCCACTGCAGGATACGCCCCCGAAAGCTCCCGTCCGGTTCATCTGTTCGGCTGCCCTCGCAGGATGGGCCTTCTCCTCAAAAGGCTGAGCTCGCGGCAGCGGCTTTCCCGCCCTTCTCGAGCGCTCCCGAGCCGCCGGGCGCTGGCTGGCTTCCTCTGGGCCCCGAGTCCCCGGGCGCACGGGGGAGCGGTCGCAGCCGTGGTGGGCGTCCGGCCGGCTCGGGGCTCACACGCCTCTCCACGCCGCCACGGGCGCCTCGGGGAAGACGGTGGCGAGGTGCGCCCGAGGCGGGGAGGTCCCGGGGGTGCCGGCTCCGGACTGCGGCGCGCGCCCCACGCGCCTCTCGGGCGCGCCCCCGGCTCCGCCCGCCCGCTCCCGCGGCGACGAGCGCGTGTCCTCGTGCCCGCGCCCCCGCGCGGCGGACGCACGGCGACGAGCGCGCGCGCGCCCCGGCGAGCGTCCCCGGGAGCCGAGCCAGAGCGAGCGTAGGGCCGGGCGCGCAGGAGTGAAAAGGAGGCGGCGGCCGCGGCTGCGAGCAACAGCTCCGGGCGCCCTGAGCCGACCAGGGCCGGCGCTGGGACGATTTCTCATTTTAATTTCACAGTTTTTTTAAAAATTTAATTTAAACGGCATTTTTTTTTTCATGGCGCTGGCCCCGAGTCAGCGGGCGCTTTTCTCCGCACCAAGATGGGTTTTGCCTTTTCCGTCGTGGGCACCCGTGGTGGCCTGATTGTCAGTCAGCTCCGGGCGTTTTCAAGGCCGGGAGCCCAGCGCTGCGCGTAGGCGGGTCTCCCTGCACGGTGTTTTTTTTTTTTTTCCCAATTATCGTGAGCCTTCGGGGCAGAGAAGAGTCGACCTCGTGCTCCGTCGCCTCTGCAGAAGCGGCTGCGAGGTGGAGGTGGGTCGCTCGGAGGGTGCCGTTCCCCGGGTGAGCGAGCCCCGGCTTCCCCCCCACCCCCGCGCACTCCTGCCGCCCCACCAGTGTGTCCTCTCCTTGCCGGCGCCGGGAAAATGGAGGCTGTGATTGAGAAGGAATGCAGCGCGCTCGGAGGCCTCTTCCAGACCATCATCAGCGACATGAAGGTAAGGACGCCGGGGGCGCGGCTGCGGCGGGCGCCGTGCGCGCTGACCTCGCCGCCTCGCCTCGCCTCGCCTCGCCTCGCCTCCTGCCCGGGCCGCCAGGCGCCTGCCCCGGCCCCTCGCCTGCACCGCGGCCGCTGGCCACCTGCGGGAGCTCCTCGGCCCCGCGTGTCACCTGCTCGCTCCGGGCCCTGCTGGGCCAGCGGGCGGGCGGCTTCTCTGGGGAAGCCGGGGACGCTCTGCCCCCGCCCGGCTCATTGTCCCAGGGGGGCGGCACCACCTCGTTCAGCTGGGGGCTTCAAGGCCTCGGCTTCAAGTTTTCCATTGTCTGTCCATGGACTGAGTGCCTCGGACCGGAGGAGACTTGTATGGCCGGGCGGACACCTGATTCCCCCGGGGACCGGGGTGGGGGACGGCTGGCGCGGCTGGTGCGTGGTGGGGAGGGAGTGGGGCCACTGCCCTGGTTGGAGGAGTCCCCCGGCCTGGGAAACTGGGAGGAAGGCCTCCTTTTCCCCACCTTGGCGGTCTACCTGGGAATCGGCGATCTGCACCTATTTGTTAATAACCGGGCTGATTCCGAGCGGGTGAGGGTGTGCTTGCATTCCTCCAGCTCTCCCAGGGGGCGCCAAGCAGAAGTTGCCAGGGCAGCCTTGCAGGGTCCCCTAAACCTGAGGCTCTCCAGCTGAACGCAAAACCGGGGACCCTCTGATGGTGCGGGCACACTGTCCTTCTGGAGGCACACACACCCTGCTCCAGGATTTCTGTTGGAGGGGTTGTGAAGATTGTGCGTGCGTGCGTGTGCACGCGTGTGTGTTGGGGGCGGGGTACGACACTTTGGCTTTTTCCTGCATTGGGTGGGACTGGAGATAACCTGCCCCTCCGGTGCGGATTATCTGGTCCATGGAGATAGACCAGGGCTCCGTGTTACTCATCCAGAGGAAATAAAACCAGCCGAGCGGGAGCTGGCCGGAGGTGGAGGATTGGGGGCGGTGGGGTGGAGGAATTTTTTGTTTTTTTCATGTGTATTTAAGGAACTTCTCTTTGGCTTTAGCCCAGCCCCAGTTTGCCTCAACGGATCCACGGAGGTGGTGCTTAATTGAAAGCTAGGCTTCCAAAAGAGTGGGCAGGTTTGGAAAGCCAGTGCCGCCAGTGGGTGTGGACAGCCCCCCTCTTAAGCCGCTGCCTGGCGCCTGGAGGCGCTTTTGTCTGATGAAGTGTAAGGTTTGGAGAGGCCTTGGGCCTCAGAGATGGACTTGGGGTAGGAATGCTCAGCTGTCACGGCCTGCCTCTCCCGGTTTAGAACCAACTGCCACCTCACCCGGGGTGAACTTTTCCAAGGTGCCTCTGTCCTGTTGTAGTCCATTTTGAAATCTTTCCCCCCAGTTTGCCTTTTGTCAGAGATGGACGACTCCGCAGCAGCTTAATCAGCAAGCCGAACCCTGCTTGCCCGGGAATGCCTCTAATCCAGCCACTTGGAATTAGATGGATTAGTCCCTGTTCAAAGACAGCCCCCTTTCATTCCTTTGCCCCCAATCCACATTGCGTTATTGACATGTTCTTTGGGGACAAAGATGGGGGCTCCCTGCTTGGATCCCAGTATTTATTGTGAAGTTAAATTCCTATAGTCCAACAAGATTTGGGGGGAGGCTCCATGGTGTCTTCTGACCTCCAGTGGAGGGGTTGGAGATAGATTGGTAAAGCTGCGTGCGTGCGTGTGTGTGTGTGTGTGTGTGTGTGTGTGTATGTGTAGACAAATGCATGTTCCCAGGCCTTCGGTACTGACCAGGAACCCAGGGATCTAGCTGAGCTGACCGCTGTGGTCCCTGAGTGATGACACTTATGGAATAAGGCCCTCTGGAAAGTGATCCTGCTCCAGGGCTTGCCTCTTCTGCCTTCCACCTGCCATCAGTGCCCAGGGACCCCTGGCTGCCACGGTGGCCTGCTTTCCCACCCCCTTCCACAAGCTTCTGTTAAACACACAGACTTCTTACTTAATGGCCAGTCAGTCCTGAAGCTTTAGTAGGTGGATTCTGAGTTCTTTTCCCTTTGAGTTTAGGTTTTTTTTTTTTTTTTTTTTAATATTCTGCAAGAATGTGTTTGAGAGTTTTTGTTTGTTTGTATAGCTCTGACAGTAAAAGATAAGCAAAACCTGTGTGTAGGATTCTAGACAATTGAGGGAACAGAGATGAGGAGAAAGAGGACAGTGTGTGATTTCCCGGTTTGTTAGTGCAGGAGATATTGCTGAGTGCTTTTTAAGTTGCATTTTCGTCATGCATTGGAGTGCAGACTGTGAGGTCATCAGCAGTAAGTCAGTTTTTACTTTCCAAGATGGTGTTTTTTCTTGAAGTGCTCGTGGTGGGGTTTACTGGCTTCTCTGAAGTTTGCTTTGAGGGAGAAGTGTAAAAGGTGGGGACCCCAATGTCAAAACCATTTTGATGACATTTGAAGGCTGTTTTCTCAGCCATCCTGGATTGGGGTGAGTAAAGGGCTTTTATTAGGAGCATCTGATTCTCCAAAGCATGCGGCAGCACAGGAAGGAAGTCCGTTTCCTCTTTGGAGAAAAAAAGAACAACAAGAAGAACGGAGCATTTTCAAGGCCTGGCACCATCTGTCTTCTCCAACCAAAGCCCCTTGGGACACAGAAAGACCTGAAAGTATGTGTAGGTTATTTTCCTAGGGGGGGGTCTTCATCACTCTGGTGTGTGTCCAGGTGATTGCAGGGCTAGGGCAGAAGTTCCCCGTCATTGTCCATTGGGGTCAAACACCACGCGCAGGACGCAGCTGCTAAGTAACTTGCTGATTGTTTGGGAGAGGAAGCCTGCTGCTGTTCCTGTCCTGTGGGTGGTGGTCTATAACATGTGGAAGGACTGGTTCCCATCCACGTAACTCTGCCCTCACACTTCTCATCCCCCAGGCCTCTGGAGTGTGCAGAAGCCCCCAAAGGAAGGGGAGACTTCGGGTAGATCTGGGGGGAGGGATGGGGCCTGTGTCTGGCAAGTTTGGGACAGCCTAAGCCTGCTGGTGGCTGTCACTTGCCTGGCTGTGTTTGGGCAGTGTTGACTGCACTAGGAAGGTCTTGGAGTCCTTCCTGTGTGGGTCTCATCAATGGGAAGCAAGTTGTCCGAGCTGCAAACAGCAGAGTTGTCCTGTGACTTTGAAGTGAATGAGCCAGCATCGAATTTGGTGATGTTTGGGTGTTTTTTAAGAGCAAGACGGTTTTTTGCTGGTTCAACTCAAGGACTGCTCCTTACCCTGATCATGATGGCTTTTTCTTTCTTTTTTCTTTTTCAAATGATTAACTTGGTTAAAAAAGAAAGGTTAGATGCTTAAATCAAATATTTTCCTGAGCCTGGTTGCTCAAACATCAGCATGTGGGGAGCTGGACAGAGTACTTTGTTCGAGGGTTAGGAGAATGTGTTTGGGGTTACATAATGTGACCCAGGCCAAAACTCACCTTGCACCACACCTGAGTTCTCCCCGCCGTGTGTCACTGTAGATAGGGGTGTTCTGTTACCTGCACCTGCACTGAGCAGAATGGGGCCCTTGTTCCACGTCTCGCCGTCATCCCCGGCTCTGGCAGCCACTGGGATCCTCTCTCCTGTGTGCTACCTAAAATGACAACTGCTGAAGGGCCTTTCTGGATCCCATAGCCGTCTCTGTAGTTGGAAGGCCTTTGGGATACACTCCCCTCCCTCACCATCCCTTGGAGAATGTGAGGCGTGGAGCCAGGCACCAGGTGAATCACAGCGGCTGTGTTGGTGTCTTTTCACCACAGCCTTTGCTGTGGGGCCCTTGCTAGAAGGGTGGACTTCCTTGGTGCTCATAGGGGGCCTGGCTTGTCCACGTCCGGCACTGACTTGGAGCGCTGCTCATTCTGTGGGCCGTCAGCAGAGGTCACACGGAGGATGTGGTGGCAGGAGAGGGGTGGGGTGGAGGGCAGGCAGCCCCCCAGGCAAGGGCTTTCCACAGGACTTTCCCTTTTTCATGCTTCAGCAAGAAGAAAGTTCTCCCTGGGAAAAGGATCCTGAAACCCCAGCCCAGGACTAGGCCAGGATTCCAGGGCCACTGAAGGGAGCGGGCTGCCCCGAGTGCGGCTGTCAGCCACAGGGAGCAGGACAGTCGGAGTTCCAGTCGGAATTCCAGTCGGAGTTCTTGGGTAGGACAGTTGGGTCCCACTCTGGCTTTTCTCTTAGCAAAATAAAGTTTGTTTTTGGCCAGAGTTTTACAGCTTCCTCTTCTGGGGTGGTCCCTGGGAGGAGAGGGTGAAGAAGGCTTACAACAGGCAGCCAAGAAGTGCCCGAGTGGATGCCCATGCAGAGATCCAGTGCCGTGTCCAGTGCAGGACTGTCTTTTTGATGCTTGAATTCTAGAACTTGTTTGATCATTTGTGGTCCTTGTTTCTGTGGGGAAGCCCCCATATCTGCCCTATGTAATCAAATTCCTGGGACTGTGTGGCTTGATGCTGTGGGCCTTTGCGTTCCTTGTGGCCTAAATGCAGAAGGAGGTCTTTCCTGCGGAAGCTGCACGGGGAGTTGGCCTGGTTTAACCATCACCCCGTTCTCCCTGGAGTCCGGTGTGCTCGTTCAACAGTGCTCCCATTTATTGGGTGTCAGCTGTGTTGCGGGCACAGAACTGACTGCAGGGAGGCAAGATGCAGAATGCTTTGTGACATTTTCCTTCCAGACAATTAGGAAATTATTATTTTTTAAATATTATTTTTATTAGGCAGATTTAGAGAGGAGAGACAGAAAGATCTTCTGTCCGCTGGTTCACTCCCCAAGTGGCTCGGTGGCAGGAGCTGAGCTGATCTGAAGCCAGGAGCCAGGAGCTTCTTCAAGGTTCTCACAATGGTACAGGGTCCCAAGGCCTTGGGCCATACTCCACTGCTCTCCCAGGCCACAAGCAGGAAGCTGGATGGGAAGTGGAGCATCTGGGACATTAACTGGCACCATATGGGATCCTGGTGCTTGCAGGGTGGTGAGGCTTTTAGCCGCTGAACCATC